GGACGACAGCGTGCTGTATGGTCACCTCTCTGACCGCCCTATGCGTTGTTCTCCGTCTCACGCATGCTCTATCTCTATCTCTATAGCCCAAGCTCTACTCTATAGTCTCAAAATCTTCCCATCCCCCATGATCCCACCCCTAAACAACTCCCCGATTACATTCCCCTTCACCACCGTCTCCTCTACCAAACCCTGCACATGCCTCGGCTCAACGCGCCCATACCAAATCCCATGACCAGCAAGCGGATGTTTCCCTCCATCTTTCCTCTTCATACCCGGCGGCAGGTACATAATCACGTTCCCCGCGAACTTATGCCCCCCAATATGACTTATCAACCCAACCCTCGCACCCGTCTTCCTCCCCGTCCTCTCCCCCTCGATCTCCTCCACCTTCCCACCAAGCGCCACCTCAACAGGCCCCTCCAAGACCTCCACCCCAGCCTCGGGCAACCTCGCGCGGAACTCCTCTCTCAACACGGGGCCCATCACGCCGCAGCGCATGTCTCTCCCGCCGTGTCCACATATCAAGACGATGACGTCCTCCACGTCCCTCACACCGTGTAGCAAGCCCTGGTAGGCGGCTTTCCGCGTCAGCCGGTCGCGGTGGATGGGACTCTCCCCGTCGTGCATGGGGTGCAGTATTTCCGGGAGGAGGTAGCCCTTCACCAGGCCCTCTACGGAGTCGAAGGACACGCGCGGTAGGAAGGGGACGTATTTGAATAGCGGGAGGATGTAGGCTGATGTTGTTTGGACTTCGGGCCGGGGGGAGGGGGAGGAGGGGAAGGAGGCGTTTAGGGGGGAGATGTTGTGGAATGGCTGGTGGTGGCACAGGTTAGTATAGGAAGTGTTGTAAGGAGAGGGGAAATGGGGGGAATGAGACGAACGTCGTTATACACCCCTCCCCGACCGATCAGCTCTTTCAGATCGGCGGCTAGGTTGTCGCCGCTGTTGTCCTCCTCTATCTTGGACGGCCAGTCGTCCTTGCCCGTGCAGACGAGGACGTGCTGCGCGTAGTTGGATATCAGTCCGTTGAGGTTTGTCTTGTGGTCTATGTGGAGCCCCTCGGGCATGGCGGGCGTGGGCGCGCATTGGCATGTCGGTGAGGGACAGGACTGTACGACGGGGAAGGATGGTGGTGGATGTCGGCGAGTCGAATAGCACCGGCTCGATCGCAGGACAAATGCCGACTTGGGTTTGACGGAATGGAGGGTGATTTGGTTGGCGCATAGTCGCACCAGCCTCGCCGGGGTAGTTATTGACATGGGAAGAGGATTGGGGAGAGAACGAGTGTAGAATGTGCAGAATTGGCCATGTTGCGCCGGCGCCGAGTGGTGTGCGACCGGTTGATTTTATTGAGTGACGTCGCTCGGCGCGGTCACGGAGGTAGGCCGAGATGGTCGGAGTGCGTAACTGCATAAGCGCCGATAGATGCATAAGTGCTTGTTTTGTTGACCCACTTCGACTCGGCGTTCAACGACATCTCCGAACAGAACCCCTATCAAGGTCAACATATCTCAAACGTCAAATCTAGTTCCCCGTTGATCCTCGTCGATGCCGAGGCTCACACCGTCGTTGATATGGAAGGCTCATAGCATCTCGCCTCTAGCAGCGGCTCTGCTGCCGGTGTGCAGGGATATTCCGAGTGCTCTCACTGAGCTGCGATGGATCCGTGAACACGTCCAGTCCATGTCCAAGGCTTCCCCTATGCCGGCCGATGTCATGATCCGCCGTTTGTGCAGAGAACGAGGAAAAGGCGTGCCCTTGCAGTATGTCCTCGGCACACAGCCCTTCGGCAATCTGGAGATCAAGTGTCGTCCAGGCGTCTTGATCCCAAGGTAAACACACCATATCTCATAGCTACCCCTTTTCATCTCGTTAATAATCGTCAGATCTGAACCAGAGGCCTACACCACCCACCTCTCCAACCTTCTCAAATCCGGCCACTTCATCACTGCCAACCAACCTCTTAGAGTCATCGACTTCTGCACAGGAACAGGCTGCATAGCCCTCCTCCTCTACTCCAACCTCACCCCCTCCGTCCCCCAGCTATCCATAACTGGCATCGACATCTCCCCCCTAGCCATATCCCTCTCCCACACAAACCTAGCCCACAACGTCTCCATCAACCTCGTCCCCCCTCCCACCCAATCCCATACCATCACCTTCCTACAATCCGACATCTTCTCCCGACAATGGTTGTCCCCCTCTCTAGTCGGTAAATACGACATCATCATATCCAACCCGCCGTATATCTCCCCACGCGGCTTCGCGAGGGAATGTTCACGTTCGGTGAGGAACTACGAGCCGAAGCTGGCGCAGGTGCCGCTTCCCCGGCAGGCGGAGGTCGGGGTGGTGGTGGAGCAGGAGGACGTGTTTTACGCGCGACTGTTGGATATCGGTGCTGTGGTGAGGACGAGGGTGATTTTGTTTGAGGTCAGCGGGATGGAGCAGGCTCTGAGGGTTGTTGGGCTGGTGGGGGAGAAGTTGGGGGTGGATGAGTGGGCAATTGAGGTTTGGAGGGATTGGCCTGATGGAAGGCGCGGGGAGGAGGAGGAAGGGGAAATCGCCGTTGAGGGCGTGGGGCAGGTGCCGGTTAAGGGAAGTGGGCATGGACGGTCGGTTTTGGTTTATCGGAGGTAGGAGCGATGAGTTGCTTTTGCTTTTCGCACCTGTCTTCATTTTGTTGAAGATTCCATTGGATTCCACACTCTCGGTCGGATCTGGGTCTTTGGAAGGTGCAAGGAGGAGACACAACTCGCAGTGTTGGTATCCTCGCCGCCCTCCCGTCCCTACCTTATTCAAACCTCAAACAAGCCCATTTGTCTCCACCTTCTTCTTACCAACGTCCTCTTCACCGGCTGCATTTCGAAGCAGTCCATTTCAACCTTCTTCATACGACCCTACTCTTCTTCAGCGGCTGCTTCAGCGCATACCTTATTCTTATAACTGGCCGGGCCTGACTTGACCTGATCGAAGCTACTGCTGCTAAGGTATTTGGCCCTGATCAATTTGTCCCGGACGGCACGCAACCTCGAGTTTCCGGTTGCAACATACGCTCACCTAGGTTCAGGATCGAGACACGACCGCTTCTGCAACACCATCACCAGTTGCAGGACTCAGAGCATCCGGTCATGTCGTTCCCCGATACTGTTCATATTGGATATTCACGTACGGAGCCAAAATCTTCGACGAAGATGGAGATCTGTGGCCACTAGTCGATGGTTGGCGTACCGCCTTCAAGGTTTGCTCCAGATCTCTTGCGCGAACCTCACCGGTGTTCAAGGCCATGCTCTTTGGAGAGTCCGCGGAAGCCAAATCGAAGTCCAGCGACGGCAAGTGGGTTGTGCAGCTGCCAGACGAAGTCGATCCCATGGTGGTTATTTTCAACATTATCCATGGCCGTTTTGACAAAGTCCCAACCATTTTTCCTCATGGAGAAGACGCAACATATGCGAGTCAATACCACGACGCCAACTCAGAAGTACTAATGTGCGTCGCGAAGACAGCAGACTTTTATGGCGTCATACATCTTCTCAGACCCTGGGCCAAGACCTGGATCTATATGGCACGCAAGGACCTAGAGCCGACAGATTGGCTATGCGAACTGTTATGGCCTGCATGGCTCCTTGGCGACGAAGAGTTGTTGAACCACCGACTTGATCGAGTGGTTCTATCAGCAGGCTACGCCGACGACGTCGACGACACCGACGACACCGACCACCTTCGCGTATTTGACTGCTACGATGGTGACCATTCGCCAGCTGACGGAAAAGACGGGTTGGCAGGAATCCTAGGGATACTAGGCATTTTCGGTTGGTCACTGTTCATCCTGGATCTTCGTTGCCATCTTTCTAACCATATGACAGAACAACTCCCACTTGTGCGGCTCAGGGTCCTCCAAGCAATGCTGTCCCCTATCAGGTTGTTTCTGTTCAAGCCTCTCACGTTCATCGACCCGGGATGTGGCTGGCATATGCAACTGGATGGTCACGGCAACGACAGGCACGTTGTCATCAAGACATTCGAGCTGGCTTTGCAGAGTCAGGGCCTCTTCCCTCTACCCGGACCGAAGACGTTTAAGGGTAGCCCCAAGGACCTGCAGAGGAGCCTCGACAAGGTTGAGAAGGAGTTCAAGCGGGCTGCGAAGTCGTTCTCTTTGCTATGCAACGACTGCAAACCGCTTAAGCGAGTCATGGAGGCGGTTCGGGGGGCGGTAGGGAGCCGGCATCTTATTCACCTTACGAACGCTCAGAGAGAGCATCTCGCACGGCGGCGCAGGAGTCTGGGATTGAAGACCGCAACTAGGACTTGTTTTGGCTGCCTGTATGGCGAGTGTTTGCGACCAGAGGTTTGGGAACCGAGGAGGGATATGCGTTGAAGTCCGCGCGATTTGTTTGGCGTGGCAAGGTTCTGAGCAGGAGAATCCGACAGAGGGGTTCTGATTGAGGAAACTTCCTGGCTGAGAATGGAGAGAGGTGCTTCGCTGATAAAATGAGGTAGTCATTATACATGGCATCTCCTTCATAAACCTCCAGCTTGTCAACCATAAACGATGATCTGGCTTAGTTGGGGGACGTAGGCTTAAGCCGATGCGCTGCCTTAACCTCACTCAAAAACACAGGTGCTGATATTCTCGCGCTGGCTGGATCCTGGCATACTCGGACGCCAACAGACGAAAGTCCAAAAACCAAAAATAAAACACACGTCGTGAGCAGGATTTGAACCTACGCAGGCGAACCCATGAGATATCGAATAAGCCATTCAAGTCTCACTCCTTAACCACTCGGACATCACGACCAGCTTTGCCTGACTCAGCCAGTACAGCTGTGTATGGAGCCAGCCACGCTCGCTGCAAGCGCAGAGCAGGAGACAAATAACCGCATAGAGCGAGCGGTCCACGAGGGTGGAACAGGGCAAAATTTTGCCCAACACCTTTGGACGAGAGCAGGCAAAAAATATCAACTCCCAGACAACATCTGGAAGCTGTTAAACTGTGTTTTTGGCTCCGCCGTGAATCGAACACGGGTTGCATCGGATGTAGCGAGTAGGTTAAGATATGTCCCCATGTTTAGGGGAGAATGTGTCTCGTGTACCACAACGATGAGTCTTGACCACTGGACCACGGAACCTTGTTGTTGTTGTGTTCCTGCCATTGTGTGTCATTAAGTGTCCCGCTGTGGGAAGAGTTTCGTCCGAGAATTTGTGATGTGGACTGGCTTGGACGGGGAAGATTATGCGTGGGCATGACTCGAGTGACTTGGCTGGATGATATGTCGGGCTGGGAGAGACTTGAGGTCGGTGACACCGGTTGGTTGAGGAGGCAAAAAGATGGTATATAACAGTGGACAGAATAAGGGAGCTGTTCAGAAAGGATGAGTGTCAAGCTTGCGAACGGGGAGGCCAAGACAGATGTATAGGATTGCGGATGTTAGCACGGTAACTTGATGGATGACACTTCCAGGGGGACGAGATAACGATCGACTTGTCGCCGCAAAAACACGTGAAATCATACCACAGGTGAAGTTGTCGAGGGAAGATATGACACGAACCGGGCAAAAACAGAAGTAGACTCGAGCACGAAAATGGCAAAAACGTACAACAACAGGGATTCCCCGGTGGTCACCCACCCGAGTACTAGTCTGTCGGTTACTGGCTTGTCGATGGGAGAGCGGACGGGATCCCGAATTCCCCAGTACCTATGGTCGTACGTGGTAGTTCTGGCGGCTGTGTCGGGTTATCTTGGGGTCGGCGGCCATGGAGATAGGACTGTGCTGTGTGGATAGGGATGCATAACCGCGTGTTTAGCGGGACAACTCGTGGTCATGCACTGGATACCTTAGTAGGAAAACACAGGAGTCTTATCTGTAGGTTGAGAACCTCAGTCTTCCTCTTATTCTGATATTCATCTTCGCCGGTAGGCCGATGCGCTGCAATCTAGAAGGCACGTCCGCCGTTTTCCAAATTCAAGTCTCGCGTCCTTGCTCTAGGCCCCTGCCAGTCGACCACCACGCTGATCTCAAAGACATCGGTCCTGTGGCAGGCGCCCTCAAGTCTCTTGCTTGTGACGGTCCATACACCTGTTGGAGGATTGCAGATTGCAGCCCGGTACCTAAACGGATGATAAGACCGTCATATCATCAGGCAACGAAACGACGATCACCCTGTTACGGCACCAAGTCGTGTAATCCTACCAAAGCTGTAAAGCGCAGAACCAAGTATTCGCTAAACACCAGTCTCCAGTTGCCTCTGCTTCAGACGAGCTTTCAGAGCGCTGTCGAGCTGCATGAGAGGCCGGTCGAACTTCAGCACCTTCGTCAAGCAGGCAATGAGTCTCTCGAGAGGGCTGCATCCAATATGCTGGAGAGGACGGTTCATAAGTGTCCACGAGCAGTCTATGGTCGCTTGCATGAGGCAGCCCTGTAGGTCAATGGCACTACTATCCCATGTCTCCGGGGGGTCAGGGAGCGGGTAGAGGTGACACTGTGCCAGCGTCTCCCGAAAAGCGGTCAAGATGGCTTCGCGGTCACTGCCCGGGCCAGCTGCCTCCATGTGCCAAGCGCACTTGGGGCCCATCAACACCAATGGGTCGTCGAGGTAGATGCGGACGGGATCCAGAATGGCCTTCATCGCCACCGCGCGCGCACTACGGATCTTCTCTGTCTGATTGTTAGTCGATGTGTCGAGAGAAATGGAGAGGACCATGAAACTCCGCAACTCGAGTTACCAGAGATGTTGAGGATGCTCAGGATCACTTCAGGACCGTCGCCCGGCCTTGAAAAGTCGTCAATTCTGTGAGTGAGTAACACATCGGTGAGACCAAGCGTCTTTCCATCCGGGCCAAGCTCTGATAGCAATACCAACTTTTCAAGCTCCGAAATCAACATGGGCCGGTCTCCGAGCACCCAAGCAATCCACATAAGCCTTGCGAAGTCTTCGCAGTATATTGATCTGCATTGGTGGATCCAGGACTTCGCCCACGGCTTGAGCAAGGGCGTCACGAAGTATTTGTCGCTGACAACCGTGATACGGTACAACACATCTATCGCGACAGCTGGCTCGTAGTAGTTGAAGAGTTGAGCCTGAAACAAGTCGCCTCGCTTCTCGGGAAGCCTTATCGGGACTTGGTTCACCTGGCCGTGGAAGATGTGCAACAAGATTGCCATGGCGTTGATGTCATCCTCTGGAAGGTTGACGACCCACTGGGTACTCGCATCTCTAGGCTTCGACTCGGCGAAGCCGCCAAAGAGCATGGACTTGAAGACCGGAGATGCACGTGCAAGGGCCTTGGAGCACACCAGACAGGTAACCCTGTCCCTGCCTGTGCCAATCACCAGACGCAAGTCGCCGTCTGGGTCGAAAAACAGAGGCTCGTGCTCGCTCTCGTCGTTGGTGTCGTCGCCGGAGGGTTCGTCGCCTGAAGGATCGTCGCCTGGCGGACCGTCGTCGGAAGGATCCCCCTCGCCAGGATCGTCGTCGGGAAAGTTATCCTCGGAGGAATCGTCGGAAGGCTCGCTGCCAGAGGAACCGTCGGCATCCGGGAGTTCAGCGTTGGCCGCCTCCTCCTCAGCTGGAGTGTCGGCATCTTCAGCATCAGGAAGCTCCTCGTCGTCGAAACCAGCGTCCTCGTGGTCCACGTTTTCGGCATCTTTGCCCTCCTGATTGATCGGCGCGCCATTAGAAACTGACTTCAGCCCGGGAATACAGACCTCACAATCATGATGATTGGAGGGGCTCGACAGGAGCAACTGACAGGCAGCTTCTCCGTCCATCTTTGCTGGGGATCCTTCGGGTCGGGGTGGTGAACTGTTGCGAGGTTGTGGTTGTGATGGAGTCGAAGAAGCGGAGGCAGAGTAAAAATATAACAAATAACGAGGAGTAGGGAAGGAAAGGTGGATTGGTGAAAGTTTGTCGTAACGCAGGTGACTGACCACTTGCCTCGCGCCTTCTGTGTACCTGTATTCACTTTCACTTGTCGCCGAATACGGGTAGCTATGAAGGATGAGAGATACCACAACCGTTGATCAGTCCATCGTCAATTCAGTCTATGTTCAAATCAGGCTTTAGTCAAACCAGTCTACTGTTAAATCAGTCCATCGTCAAACAGGCTGTCGTCCAGTCAGCGTATCGTCAAATCAGCCATTTAGTAAAACGCAGCACCTTTCATCAACTTCAGAGGGTCAAGCAAAATGCAGAACAACTTGCAACTTGTTTTTCTTCAACACACCCAGCAATTAACCCTCCTCAGCATCCATATGATCCGCCCTCCTCTTCCCGCCCATACCGGGCCTCTTCTTCTTGTCCATCGTCTCGAGCACCTTCTTCATCTCCGTCCTGGCATGGCGCTGCGCCTCCTCCACCCTCGTCTTGAACACCATCACCTCCTCCTTCTCGGTCGCATACTCGTCCAGCTTCTTCCCCAGCGCCGCCTCGATGCGCAGCCAGATCTCGATATCGTACTGCGTCACGAGCGTAATAGCGTGGCCGCTCTTGCCCGCACGTGCCGTACGGCCCACTCTGTGCACGTACGTCTTGCTGTCCTGCGGTAGGTCGTAGTTCACCACCAGATCCACGGAGGGGATATCCAGACCACGCGCCGCGACGTCGGTGGCGACGAGGATATTCCTGCTCCCGGCCTTGAACTTGTTCAGCGCTCCGAGACGGTTGGACTGCGAGAGTTGGCCGTGCAGCGGGATGGCGCCGAAGCCGAGGGTGCGGAGGAGGATCGCTATCCTTTGCGTCTCGTAGACTGTGCGGGTGAAGATGATGGCCGTCTTGCCGGCGAACTCGTTGATGAGGTAGACGACGTAGGTGTCCTTGTGGGCGTGGGGGATGAAGATGTAGTTCTGAAGCAGGGTCGAGACTGTCTGGTACTTGCTCGAGCTGATACTCACCCGCAGGGGGTCGCGCAGACAGGCGCGCTGGAGGGACTCAACCTTGGAGGACATGGTGGCGGAGAAGAGGTAGGTTCTGCGCTCGCGGGGCAGGAACTTGAGGATTTTCTCGAGGATGGGGCCGAAGTCCATGTCGAGCAGGCGATCGGCCTCGTCCATGACGACGTATTTGAGGGTGCGTAGGGAGAAGCCCTTCGTCTTCTCCAGATGGTCGAGGAGTCGGCCAGGGGTGGCCACGACGACGTGAGGCTTCTTGCCTAGGGCGATGGCCTGCGAGACCATATCGAGACCACCGATAACGACGGCACAGCGGAGGTTTATGAGGGAGCCGAGAGCCTCGAAGGACTGGCCGATCTGGGTAGCCAGTTCACGGGTCGGGGCGAGGACGAGGCCGAAGAGCGGTTGGGGCTTCTCGAGGAGGGATTGGAGGATGGGGAGGGCGAAGGCGGCAGTCTTGCCGGAACCGGTCTCGGCGAGGGCAATAAGATCGCGGTTTTGCAAGGCGAGGGGGATGGACTCGACTTGGATCGGGGTGGGGAATTTGTAGCCCAGGGCGGCGCAAGCTTCGCAGAGGGAGTCGACGATGCCCTGTTGAGCAGCGTTAGTGTGCTGCTGCTGGTGTTCTCAAGGGGTATCCGTGACGAGCTAAACATACCAGGTCCTTGAAGGTCTTTTGCACTTCCTCTGTTGCATCTTGTTTTGGATCTTGTTCTGCATCTTGTTCTTGCACCTCTTGGGCTCCGGACTCGTTCTCGTTATCATCCTCCGAGGCCGACGGTGATGGTGACGGAGACGACTGTCGTTGTGGCTTCTCTCCCTTACTCTTGCTCTTCAGCTTCGGTACCGCAGCATCGTGCGCGGTCTTTCGCCGTTTCGTGCCAGATGTTATGCTCGACATGTTTGCTGTGTCGTATTACTTCGCCTTTTGCAGTGATGTACCTAGTACCTACGACGGAACTTGAAGGTCGGTCGGTCTTATCGTAGCGAAACTTTTTAGTGGAGCGAAATTTGAAGATGGGCGATTGCGATGCCAAGCATTTTGACCTGTGCGCACAGACCACAGCAAGTTTCAACTCCACATCCGTCTTTGTACCCTTGATTTCATTGACATCCGCAATAGGGACAACTTCAAAGCCCCTTATTCAGTACCACTTGCCATTCTTGCACATACTTTTGTCCCGAAGTACTTGGTCACTTCAGTATAGTCTTATTCGACTGCTTCGACTACTGACACTTAC